TAGTACAAATTTGTAGCGATTTGAGGATAAGCTTCCATTTAGCTCACCCCTATTTCGTTCTATGTGTGTCTCCGTTTCAACGGTTTTTGGGGTCCTGATAAAAAATGTATATACGTAAATTAAATATATTTATAAAACACACATTTTGAGAATTTTTAGACCAGTTACTCGTCGAGTAAAAGGTATAATACATTCGTCGGAGAGGACGTAGCAGGTAGAAGGATACTTTTCCGACCCTTTAAAGTATATATATTCTTGATCAGGAGCACTAGCCGAGTCGATCCTGCCATGTCCGTCTGTCCGTGTGAACGCTGTGATCTCGAAAACTACAAGAACTAGAGGGCTGAGATTTCAGATTTTGATTCCTTGTCTCCGTAAGCAACGCAAGTTTGCCACGCCCAAAACGGTAGCTCCTACAGTTTACATGTTAGAAACATTTTAATTGAAACTGAAATACATTGGTCTTGTCATTGCCCCGTTGATCTTTTACTCTTACGCCCATAGATCGCCAAAAACTGTGGCTCTCCAGTTTTCATGCTAGAAAAAAAACACTTAAATCTGTCTGCCGCGTACACAACCATATATTTCAATCTCGCCTTGCTGCTTGCATATCTCCATCTCCCTTTTTCTCCCATTAGCTGAGTAACGAGTATCTGATAGTCGAGACACTTGACTTAACCTTTCTTCCTTGCTTTTTTAGGCTCAATAGTTTTTTATGTAACAATAGTAGCGTCAAATATTTTGTATTAATTTATTAAATATATGGATGGTAAAGTAAATAAATTTGAGGAAGCAAAAATAAATAATATCCACTCGGGTGAAGGGGGAAGTAAAATAAAATGCACCCACATTTTAGAAAATAGATTAAAAAATTTTTTTTTTCTAAATAAAAAAATTCTTTTTAGTCTAGAAAATTTTCTAATAGAATATAGAACCCAGCAACTGTTGTCCACAAATAATATACTTCTTTAGTTTACTCTTAAGCATTGTATTCATTGAACACAAATGTGGTTGCTTGCTGTTTATGTTACAGTTTCTGGTTCGCAAGATCCGTTGTCGCTTGGCTTTAATTTACCGCGCGTTGGGCGACGAGGATCAGTACAACACTCATTTTCGATTGGCAAATCAAACGGATGCGGCGCTAGGCCTGAATTGCGGAGCTTGTGGGGAGTTGTTTGGCCTTCGGCCGGAAAATTTGGAAGCTCTGCCTTGTGCACATATACTTCATGCAAGGTAAGTCTCTCATTTCATGTATCCTTATTTTTTAAAGCATGAAAAAACTTTTCTGCCGCCATTTTTACGTATTTGCTAGTGTGAGCGCTAGAGAGAATTGTCATAGCTGTTTTAGCAAGCCAATCTTCTTTTTATATCCTTGAAGAGGGTATAATGATTTCAGTCAAAAGTTCTTGATCAGCCTCACTAGACGAGTCGATCTAGCCATACCCGTCTGTCCGTCCGTCTGTCCGTATCTACGCAAACTAGTCTCCTGGCCTGAGAGCCGGATCGGACAACTATTTGTTAAAGCTTCCATAGAAATGATCAAAAAATCGTTTAAAAAAATGTAAGCCAATTATAATTACGGTGTATCTTGTCATGTTAACTTTTACTCTTGGGAATATCATTGTTTTAATAATTCAGAATTTTTAATTAAATTTAAGACAAATCCAGCTGCTTTGTCATATAGCTGCTATAGAATCGATCGGATAATTAATCTCAAAATAATACAAAGACCGTTATACTTTGTTTTCGGTAAAATGGAACGTTCTTAAAATTTCTGTAATTAGATTTTAGTTTTCTAAATATCGGAAAGCTCTTCAAATACAGTGCTCCCACGGGAACGACCAAACTACAATGAAAGAGTGAATGAATGTTTGTTTTCATAACTTGCATGTTTCGTTTTGCAGGTGTGCCTACGAAATATTACGACGTCGGGACAAAAATACCCCGCGATCATGCCCCGCCTGCAACAAGCTGGTGAGCTCTCGCACACATCTTTGCGGCACCATACCGGTAGAAAGTGAAAGTACCGACGGAGGCAGCGCCGTCACGGTCACCCTCAATGCAAATGCTCTCTCGGTCGATGGTCTGCTGGGAATAACCTCCGACATCCTCCTACCCTCGGCCCCGTTTTCCCACGTCAACAAACCGGCACTGGATAACGAAAACTGCTCTTTGTTGTCCCCCAAAGTTATGTACCACAGCAACTTATCCTTGGCTTCGTTAAGTATGCGCGCATCTAGCCTGACGATCGATAGCGGTCAAAATGTTACGTCATCTGTGTGAAATGTATACTAGGACTTGTTTTAAAAAATACGTTGTGTTTGGGTACTTGAAGGAAAGGATCAGGCCGACTTTGACCACTACGAAGTCAAACTGAAATATCAGGATCGTGATTTTATCGCTCGTTATTATAGATAGTTTTTCTTTCGTATTATAGAAAATTGCATTTAAAATGCACACAAAAGTTAACAGCAATTTTAGTTACTACCAATCTAAGGCCACTATTAACAGTTGAGACAGCCAGCATTTTAACTACGGCTTACGCTTGAATCTTTAATTCTTAAACAAAGTACCTTACCCAAGCTAATACTCGTAAACGTCATGTGTATTGTTCATGTTTTAAGATTAAAATATTTACAGGTACATACTAGATTGTTCTTGCATATGTATGTGTGTGCACACACAAAACATATATAAGCTAAAATAAATCGTTGCTATGTGTTACGAACACATATTGTTAAAAAACTGGAGCTCCCACAAATAAAGAAATTAAATCATGTCAATATTTATGATACATGTATTGTTTTATTAAGTATGAAATGGATATTGAAAAAAAGAACGCAGTGTCGATTTTTGATTCTTTCTTATGAAGGCTTCATGATAAACTTGGTTTACTACATTCGGAGTAAGTCAGAAGGTTTCAAAAAAGTCAAGCTTATATGGCTAAATCGACTTGCTAGTGATCCATATAAAGAATACAAATACTTTCCCGCTACCTGTGTCGGAAAGTATGTTCCGACGAATCACTGTGTAGAGACGAAGCGCACCAGGAGGGTGTGCGAAGGCGACTACTATATATACAAGAAGGAATGCAAATTTACTGTGATCTTCCAATTGTTACGAGTACATCAATCGAAAGGTATTGCATACTAAGACCTTAAACAAATCAATTGGTTTGGGGGAAAAAGCGGTGAAAGTGTAACAGTCGAATGACACCTCAACTGTCAACATCGGAAAGTAATACGCAAACCAAGTTTTTGGGGGACTTCTCAAAATGAAAATTTTATTTTGACTGTCAGTTTGTCCGCTTGTTGGTTTGTCCCAAAAAGTTGTTTAAGGGCCCTGAAAACTCTAGACGACGTTAAACAGCTCAATATAAGAAACATAAGTTCTACCATTTTAGGAAAAACTAGCTAGTTTGTCGAGAAAACATCTATAAATAGGTACATTTTGTACACCCGTAACTTGTGAACTAAACTAAACTACTTAAGCTACAGACTTGTGCTATATGTCGTTAGAAAGGTATTTTGAAATACTCTGTACGCCTTTCTTGCATAATTTTGTCTAAATACCACCGATTTTACGAAATTATGGGCTCAAGTTATTTTTATACCCGTTACTCGTAGAGTAAAAGGGTATACTAGATTCGTCGGAAAGTATGTAACAGGCAGAAGGAAGCGTTTCCGACCCCACAAAGTATATATATTCTTGATCAGGATCACTAGCCGAGTCGATCTAGCCATGTCCGTCTGTCCGTCTGTCCGTCTGTCTGTCCGGATGAACGCTGAGATCTCGGAAACTATGAGAGCTAGGCTATTGAGATTTGGCGAGCAGATTCCTGAGCTTCTTACGCAGCGCAAGTTTGTTTCAGTACAGTGCCACGCCCACTCTAACGCCCACAAACCGCCCAAAACTGTGGCTCCTACAGTTTTAGTGCTAGAGTAAAAATTTTAACTGAAATGTATTGTTCTTATCAATACCTATCGATTGACCCAAAAAAAGTTTGCCACGCCCACTTTTACGCCCACAAACCGCGAAAACCTGTGACGCCCACAATTTTCATGCTAGATAAAAAATTTTAACTGAAATGTATTGGTCTCGTCAATACCTATCGATTGATCCAAAAAAAATTTGCCACACCCACTCTAACGCCCATAACGCTTAAATCTGTCTACCGCCGGTAGGTGGCGCATTTTAATTTCGCTTTGCTGCTTGCATATCTCCATTTCCCTTTGAGTAACGGGTATCTGATAGTCGAGGTACTCGACTATAGCGTTCTTCCTTGTTTTATCCCGTTTTTTCTGATTTCTCAAAAACAGCTCTAATGATTTCGAATAAAATTGTAAGATGAATAGCCCTTGAGATTCCTCAACTTTTGACATACTACACATTTTTATAAAAGTCCCGTTTTAAAGTTATTAATCAACAAAAATGGCCACATTTACCAGTTCAGAACATCTTACAAAAACACAGGCATATTGAAATACAGCGTGCCGAATGTAAGCGATTTAGAAAGTGCGTTTATGTAGTAGATCGTCATAAAAGTTGATATCAGAACTTTTGTTTGTTGAAGGTACGATCGTCACTAGATTTTTACCTCGTTAAGAGGTGTTCTTGTTTGATCTAATATACCATACTACTCTACGAGTAACATTTAAACATTTAATCGACATGTCGTCGAAAAAAACTGTGTTTTGTCATTAACATTGTAATAAATAAACTTTTTTTCAAAGAGATAAAAATAGAGAGAGTCGGATTTGAGACGATTGTCGAATGGGAGCATCGGCTCGCCCGAAATCGAAGTCGGGACGTTAATGTCATTGGCATAATGGTGACATGTGGAACTGCAGGGCGGTTACGGTCGAGAAAATGCCCGATACTCAAGTTGCAGGGGAGTTAACTAAGAAACGTTGTCCTCCAAGGCAAAAGGGCTGAACTAAGCCAGGAATCTGTCTAGAAAGATGTAGACTCGATATATACACATAAAGGAACGTTTATAGTTAGGTTTGCCATTAATTTATTATTGCATTGTTTGATTTTTACATAAATACTTAAATTATGAATGTGCCTAAACATGCCCACCCCTCATTCGCAGTAAGTTGCTGAATTTTATTTAAACTAAATTGACTAGCATACATCAAGAGGCGTATTCTTATTGCATAATATATCCTACAGATATTAACATAGTGCCTTCTTTAATGCCTTTTGAGTATTTTTTAAACATTTGGAATCGTTTAAAGGTGAATCAAAATTTGTAGTTTCTTCCATGAAGTAAGCGGGTTCTTATTGGAATATCTGCGTTCAAACTTAACTGGAAGGGTTTTTTGAATAATTTATTTATTTACAGTTTCTTATATTAATAACCCGATTTATAATGTATTTAATATTCAAGATTTTAAGCCGCTTCCTTCCGATATATTCACATAAAAAATTATATTTGGCCGTTATTTTGTTTTCTTTTTAAAGATTAATGCAAAGGTACATTTTAATATTTTCAAATGCGGATGAGTATGCTAGAATGTGGTTGTGAAATAAATAATGATACATTTTAATATTTGCATACGCTGTGTAAATTATTTTCGTTTTATCTTATAAATTTGACTAGATACAGTTATTTTAATATTATCATTAATGTTTTTTATAATTGGGTGTTTCCATTTACATATCATAAATTTTATTCAATCTAATATATCTACATACATACAAATTTCTGCTTTACCAAGGACACCTAGTCCATTTGCCTAAGGCCAATTGCAATCCTTTTAAGAGTTAAAAGTAGTATTAATTAAACATATAGGTACGTATGATATCTGACGATTCCTTAAAGTTTAACTGACTGGCTGCGATCGGTATAAGCACAAAACCGGAAATCATTGAAAATTATATATACTGCACTTAATCGACAGCTAACCGCTTTTTGAAGGCAAGGGATTATGAAAAAAAGAGCAGATCTGGGCGCTGCTGTAAGAACCCTTCTTTTCGCACGTTTCATTTGGTTAGTCTTCTTCACAAATTAAACCAGCCTATGAAATTGCCAACATTGATTTATTGATGGATTCATACAAAAGTACAGCTCCCCCAGGGATATAACAAATGATTATTGCTACTACAAACTAATAGCTGTAACAAAACTAAGAAACACGGAAAACAAGCAAGCCCTATTCAGCTCTAAAATTAATGTACTTCAGCCGTTTTAATAGGAGAAAAGTCCCAAGCAAATCGGATAAAACACAATATATCCTTTTATATGCCGTTACCCAATGGAGTCTATTTACTATATGCATCTGGATATCCCATTTTAAGAAATACAAGGATGTTTAGATAGTTCGTTTCTGGCGATTTCCATGATGAAATCAGTTAAACCTTTTATAAGTGCCCTTAAAAAATACTTTTATAACATCAACTGTAATAGCAAATCGTACAATTGCAACAGGATGCAATTTGTGATGACATACCTCACAACTCCAACAATTTTGGTTGGAAACAGAAAGACGGACCCGAATACTATTTAGAATTGCAATCATGGTAAACTCGTAAATTTACAATTGTTTCTGTCTACAAAAGATACACTTACTAATCTGTTGATTTAACTATCAGTGAGCAGTCAAATTATTAAAGAACGGACGCAGAAATGTTTCACACTGTTTTGTGCTCAGCAGACTATCATTACCTTTAGGTCATCAAAGCAATTGGAGACGCCCATATCATCTATAAAGAAATTGGCCTCCTGCCCGTGTACGTCTGGGCGAAAGCTTTGCTTCATTGTAATCTTCTCATCTGAAAGCCGTCTGATCTTAGCCAAATGGTCCGACAGTCCCTCATCCCGGTCGTCATCATAGCTACCCTCGCTATTGCTACCATTATTATCTTCGTCGTTGCCTTTCGAAGTGCGACGACATTCGACTTCCCTTGCTCTCATTGAAGGAACCGTGTGCGTTCGAGACAGAGTGCGGGTGCGGTTGGTGTGACGAGTGCTGACACACTTTGTAAATGACTTTGGACTCAATACTTTGGGCTTGTTGCTCGTTCGACGTCTGCTTCGGATATGCTGTCACAACATGTCCCCGTTCGGATCATTGGTATCTCCGTGGTCATCTGGGTCCACCAAATCGAAGTCGTGACTTTCCAACTCTAAGTCCATATCAGCTTCTTCATCAAAGGCTCCAAGAGGCGACATGGCTGTTGTATGGAGACTGGAGTAGTTTTCCTGCGTTAGGCTAGCCGGATTATGATTGTGATTGTGGCTCTGATTTTGACTCTGACTTTGACTGTGGCTCTCGTCCTCTTCCTGCTCGTCCTGTTGTTGTTGGCGGCTATGCGATAAATGCATGCTGTTCTTAGAGTCATCGTCCCGCCACTTGTCCATCGACCTCCTACGGGCGTTCATAAAGAAATTACCCACTGTTGTTGGCTCTAGTCCGAGCTGCCGCGCGATCGTTACTTGCATCTCCTTCGAAGGTCTTTTGGTCTCCTAAAAATTAAAAATTTTATTTTTAACAGCATTTAAAAAATAAATGACTTTATTAACCAGTGCTCCCTGGCAGAGAACATTTTTGAGGGGCAATAAGAAGTAAACAGTTCTTAAATGAAAGCAAGTTCCAGATCTATACATTTGTCGACTAGACACAAGTATTCGAACAGAAGAAAAACTATAAAATAAGTTAGACTCTGTAATATCCTGCAATAAAAAGTATTCTTATGTATATTATAGAAACCGTATAAATCTTATACTGGTATATGCAGCAGCTAAGGCCAAATTTGAGCTAAGCGAACACGCACGCACGCCCATCTTTAGAATCGGGTGATAGAGTTAACCCAGTGTCAAACACTTTTTTGGAATAATCGGGTTATTGGCTCACTTGATAGGTAATCCTACTTAGTGTGACAAGGCTTCAAGAACGTGTTAACTGATAAGCCGCAATAAATTCATATCTAAAGTCGGTAGAGACCTGGTTGAGGCCCGTTAAGATAAAATATTAAGATAAAATATTGGAAATGGCAAAAAGGTGTAATTATTTTGAAATTCGATACCAGAGTTACGGGTATCTAATATTTTAGAAACTCGACTTTAGCGATCCTTCTCACTTCTATTAATTTCTTGTATACAACCTACTATAGAAACTACACCTTTATCTAGAAAGCTTTTAAGCTAGGAGACTAATTTTGGATAGAGCCGTATGTTCATGAGGTAAGCCGTTCTATATAGAAGTCCAGGCCTGAACTTATTCGGCGTTTCCGACTTTTTAAAGTAAAAATACTCTTAAGGAGGATCAAGAGTCGAGTCTGAGAGCTAGAAAGTTGAGGTTTGTCATTCAGACTTCTAAGCCTTTGTCACAAATATGTTTAAAGATTTTGTGAAAGTTTAAAATTAAATTTTGCTTTGTTTATCAATACCCCAATAAAAAAAGTTCTTACCACTAAATAAAGCCAGTTCGCGAAATCTGAAAATTTCGTTCTGGCTACCACATTTGAAAGCTAGATTTAAAATTTTGCATGTTGATTCTATATCAAGGCAATGTTTGATTTAGCCGAGTGATATGTCCACTCCAGCGACCACAGACAGCAAGAGGTTGTAGTGCCAAATTGGTTTAAATCTGACCATTAGTTTATAAGTTAAACAGGTACTATAAATTGCCTGCGTTGGTGGTGAGCACTAGACCAATCACATGAATTTAGCCAACCGCCAAATTCCGTTTGAATTACATATATGGTTTGATCGGAAATTTCACCTTATCTTGGATCCTGGATTATTGATACCTACTTTGAAAATCGCTTGTAATGTTCGTCTCTGAAGATCGGTGAAGACCAGCCGCGGTTTTTTTGGCTGAGGCATTTGCTCGATCTGAGGCTCTTCCTTTCGACGACAACTAACGATGTTGGTAGCGGACACGATCGTGACGGGTGTAGATGCAGACGAAGAAACCGATTCATTGGGCGGAGCTGTCGTATTTTCAAGTCGGCAGATGGACGACGTTCCAGAACATTGTTGAATAAAATAGAAAAAGTGGTGGGTTAACAACAAGAACTGGCAAAATACAGATTCAGGGGGGCACCCGGTTTTACTTTCACGCTTTTTTTCGATTTACTATTCAAAACGCAATAATTGGTGCTTTGCTTTAAGCAAAACGCAATTTTTTTGTACATGCCCAAAATTGTTAAATTCGGGTCATTCCCTAAGAAGCTATAAGCAAATAAGGTGTGCAACCTTGGGAACAGACGCTTTGTTACTTGTGCATTTCTAACTCACCCCACTCCCTGAGTGCTCACAGTACACTTAGCTAAGTAACGGGTATCTGATAATCATCGACTATAGTGTTCTCTCTTGTTATACCCGTTACTCGTAGAGTAAAAGGGTATACTAGATTCTTCGGAAAGTATGTAACAGGTAGAAGGACGCTTTTCCGACTCCGTAATGTATTTATACTTATGATGAAGATCACTAGCCGAGTCGATCTAGCTATGTCCGACTGTCTGTTCGTCCGTATAAACGCTGAGATTTCGAAAACTACAAAAGCTACAAAGTTGGGTTTTGGCATTTAGATTCGTGAGCTCCTTGCAGCGCAAGTTGGTTTCGTCAGTTTCCAATCTCGTCCACTTAAACGCCCACAAACCGCGAAAACCTGTGACGCCCACAATTTGCATGCTAGATAAAAAATTTTAACTGAAATGTATTGGTGTCGTCAATACCTATCAATTGACTTAAAAAAAAGTTTGCCACGCCCACTTAAACGCCCACAAACCGCGAAAACCTGTGACGCCCACAATTTGCATGCTAGATAAAAAATTTTAACTGAAATGTATTGGTGTCGTCAATACCTATCGATTGATCCAAAAATAAATTTGCCACGCCCACTCTAACGCCCATAACGCTTAAATCTGTCTACCGCCGGTAGGTGGCGCATTTTAATCTCGCTTTGGTGCTTGCATATCTCCATTTCCCTTTGAGTAACGGGTATCTGATAGTCGAGGTACTCGACTATAGCGTTCTTCCTTGTTTTCATATACAATTTTTGGTTTTGGACGACTTTTTGTCAGGTTGAATACTAGGCCTAAGTAGGAAGAAAAGGCGAGAAAATGAAACATTCTGATAACAAAACGATTACAAAAACTTTTCGAAAAACATAGCGCGTAAATACGTAAAAAAAAGTTTCTTAAAACGCAAAACTCAAAAGTAAAGTGAAAACAGGAGCACGCCTGATTATTCAAATATTTAAAAATATACTGCCAACTATAGAAATTAATTTAAAAACTTGAAACAGCTTTCCTTAAAATAGGCCACGTTTGAAAATTTTAAAAAATCGATGCAGGTATTTTAAAAGAAATAAATATTTTTACAAATTAAGAACAGGGGCTTTTTCTTTGAACCAATTCAACCTTATCATGTCCACTAATCCTCTTTTATTAAGTAATAACGATTAATTGACGTTTTCTTATAACCATCGCTCTATGTAATTAGTCCATTTGGTTATACCCATTACTTGTATGTATTCTCGTAAAGTATAAATATTTTTAACCGTTATGAGTGTTGAGATCTCGGAATCTATAAAAGCTACAAAGTTGCGATTAAGCATTCAGATTTAAGTGGTTGCCACGCTCAATCTATTGCCCACAAACGCAGATGACGATAAAGTCTGCCGAACGCCCACATTTTATAAAGATTTTATTGTTGTAAATTGATATTGATTTCACTGATAAGAAGCTTTCTAAATGTTAAGAGTCTAACTAACTAAGCTAAACACCACCCTACGCTACGTGGCGCGCTGGCATCGGTATTGTGTGCCGTGCCTATAGAAATGCCTCGGAATTTTATTTTAATTGAAATTTGGAAAATAGTTACGGGTATCTGATAGTCGAGGCTATGCCTTTAGGCATAGCTTCTGCAATTCTACTCACCATTTGGTGTCAATGTTGGCCCAACATGAGAGTCCAAATCGGTCGGTATGGTGGATGTGGATCCCGTTGCTGGTCCAAGTGTCATTCCAGACCCCAAAACCGCTCGCTGAGGAATTTGGGCAGCGGCCATTCGTAGAGCAGACATGCGCTGAAACTCGGGCTCCTGTAGCCACTTGTACATTCTTCGGAATGTCTCCCGGCCGGACTTAAGCTTGGACCACGGCTTTGGATTGCGCAGCAGATCAGACAAAGTACCTTGCGAACGACATAGAACACGTTGTGCGAAGATCGCCTGTGGAATGCTGTACCGCTTGAGTTCAGCTGAGATGCGCTGAGCCAGATCCTTCGTGTTGATTTCCTCCATGTCACTGGTGTTTCCATTGCGGCTCGATCCACCTCCCCCAGAGGCTACTGACGCTTTTGGCGAGGCAGAGACCGAAATTTTGGTCTGCTGGCTGGCACCTTGAAAGCCGTTTAGGAGAGCTGATTGGGGCTGCTGGTGGATGGCACACACTGAGTGAGGGGTACCGTGGATGTTCGGACTACACTGTTCTGCTGTCACGGTGCTCGTCTCTTGGTCTTTGTCCAGGAAAAACTGGGGTCTCTGCCCTGGGGACAGTCGCTCATTCAGTTTGAGTCCGGATGAATCGTCTGTTACGGGAGGGGGGGTTGGAGTGAGAGACACGACCACTGGCAGATCGGCGGACAGACTAACAATGCTACCGTTGCCGTGCTTCCAATCATCTGACTTCCAGTCCGGAGGGCAGATCGGAGTGGCCGTAGGAAGTTGCCGGTTCAAGTGTCCCCGCTCAGGCGGCATGTTAAGTCGAGATCTGCGCTCTAGCGGAATGTGGAACCGAGCCTCCAGGTCAACCGGCATATGAAGTCGCACCTCCCGCTCAGGGTGCATTTGAAGCCAATTCCTTCAAATAAATTTAATATTGCTTTAAAGATTATAATTTTACATTTGTGTGTTATAAGAAAGAAAGATCGGGAGGGTATCTTGAAAGGTCACTCTGAAATACGAACAAAAATTGTTCATTCCTATAGTTGTCCGACATACTTCCGAGCGAACTATTTATTTAAGTTATTTAAATAATGTCTTAATCAATATGATACCGTTATAAAAGAGGAGATCCGAGTAATGTCTGAGGGTCCAAATCAAGTTTAACCATCCTCAGTCACTATTTATTGAGGAACTTAATTAGTTTGTATTGAAAACATTTGCTAAAGTATTAAAAATGCTTAAATTTACTCTTATTGATTATAAATTTGAAATAATACTTATCGATTATATCGAGGTCGGAGGACAGGAATTTAGCGATCTTTCTTGTCTTAGGCAAATCTTCTAGAGGTATACATACGTTCCTCCGTTGACACCGGGACCGCTATCTGCTCCAGAGATGTGATCGGAGTAAACGAATTTCTCTCCATTGACATCTGCGTCTCCGCTGTCTCCTCCAGAGATGTGATCAGAGTATGAAAACTTCTCGCCGTTGACATCGGTATCTGCGCTTTCTCCTCCAGACATGTGGCCAGAGTAGGCAAACTTCCCCCCATTGACATCGGCATGACCATGGGGGTGCCCGTGAGATATTGCTGATTCTTTTTTGTGCCCGTTGTGGTTTAGCTGCAGTTGAGATGAGTTAGACACACGTCCCGAAACCGAGGCATGCAGATCGCACGAGACCAAGTAGTTATTGGGTGGAGGTGAAATCATCGACGATAGCTTTTCATATGAGGAATATGGTGATTGGACGCCGCTCAACACGCCCAAGCCTAAGTGCCCACTTCCCATGGGCATGGTAAGGGCAGAGAATGAGCTACAATCGTTGTTGTTGCATCCGGAGGACGCCACATTGCCACTGGAAATTGAACCCGTCCCAGCAGCCTCGGCAGATTGGTTAGTGACCTCACCACCCTCGACCACTCCTCCACCTCCTTCTCCACCATTGACATCCGCGTCGCCGCTATCTCCTCCAGAGATGTGGCCGGAGTACGCGAACTTTTCGGACATTGTCGATATAGGCGGAAGTGGTTGAATAGGGGTCAGGGTGGCATATGATGTCTGACTGAACCCAGGCGGTGATAGTCGATCATTCACCGAGGTCAGCGTCTGATACGAGCTGTGGCTGAGCAGCTGCCCTCGACTGCGCGAGTCCCGATCATCGTCGTCTTCATCCTCCGGATCTCCGTCTCCCTCTCCATCGGCATCTCCTTCGCCGTCCACCTCTTTGTCGCTGTCCTGCGAGTGGACGATGACTGACAGAACCTCACCGTGCACCGCCTCCAATCCCATTTCCAGCTGAGCTGACCTGTGGTGTAGGCCATGAAGCGCCTGAGCTTGAGCTTGGTGGTGCGGATGGTGGCTCGTTAGGCCGTATTGCTGCTGCTGTTCCAAGAGCTGCTGGTGATGCTGATTCAGCGTTATCCCCTCGTCGTCGCAGCCAACGTCGTCGGAGGAAATGTCATCCATTTCGTCCACGTCCACGCCAAGACCTGCATTTACACTCGCCACATCTACGTGCATTCGAATGCGCTTATGACCTTGATCCAGGCTCTTCGATTGGGCAATAAGTAGCTTCTGTTCCTGCTTTATCGCCATCTCTTGGGAGAGAACCGACTGGGACATCGAATCCACTGTCAAACCGTCCAAGCTGATGTCGGACGCTACAAAGTCCACTGGGCTGCTACTCACCATACGCTCCGGGCATTGCTGCGTGTTGTGCCTATCCGGCTGGAGCAGCCCGAAGGGCAATGCCATTGTTCTGGGCTGAAGCTGCTGGGACACAATTTGAAAGGATGTCTGCCTATTGCTGTGGCCCATCGAGTCGATCACCATGACAACGGAATCAGATCCCGACCCCGAAACCAATCCGGATCCAGATCGAGAGCCAGGGCCAGACCGGTGTTTTTTCCCTCCACTAGATCCGTCCGATCTTGGGCAGGCGGTCATAGTTTGCAGCGAAATCGCCAAGTCCTCGCCGGAATCGGTTCCTCCCTCCTGGTGTTGGTGGTGCGACTGAGACTGACGCTCCGAGTGGTGTCCCACAGTGATGAAATCTGTTGCATCTTCAACCAGATCCTGGCTAAAAGTCTGGTGGTCAATTATTTCACTTATGGACTCCATTCCTTTCAAGATTCCTCTTGTGTTTCGTTATCGTGCATCTGAAATAAAATAATTTAAGTACACAAATAACGAAATTTCAAGCGTTTTAAAGCCAATAGGTTTTTATATAATTTTCTATAAGCTGTCCTACGGTAATTTAACTATGGTTAAATAGAAACGTCCATAATTACACAATAATAAAAAAGATTCAATTAGAAAATGAATACTGTAAGCCTTGTTGCTCCTTAAAAACAATACATTTAAATATTAGCCCTAGGTAATATATATAGGCTACGTTTTAACTTGTTTTTTGTTATTAGCTGCACAGAATATTTTTGTCGTTGCCATCGTCGCCGACCTTAAGGGTTGCTTCAAAAATACACAAACATAGATACACGTAAGTGTATTCTCGCACTTACACATACGCATGAGGCAAGGGGTAGGTGTTGCTTGCACCTTTCTAATAGAATGCCCATTTTTGCATGTGTACAAATTGGCTTACATTTTCTTTTGTAAGATTAAACTAATAGAAGCGTTATCGAAAGTATTTACCCAAATTCTGTATGACCTTTAAGCTACATTTCAGTAAAGAGACTTCGTTTCACTTTTTGCATCTCGAAACAAATTTATCCGAAGCACGATTGCACAAATCACTCGGATGGGAAGATTTTTGAAGATAATTTCGTTCGGTTCCTTGACTGGAATGTTCGAAAAGCCGAGCTCAAATCCGAATAGCTTGGGTCTCTTTCTAAAAAGGATGTACTTTCCAAAGTAAGGCAACTTTTGATAGGATCAAACTGATGGAAACCTAGGGGCTCCGTCACAACGCCTCGTTCATGTCCACAACTGAATCCTTCGGCCAGAAAATTATCTACGCTTGTTCGTGTATACATATATGTACACACATGTGGGTGGTTTTTCCGAAAGTTTGTTATGTGACTGCCGCGTTCCATTAAGTCTCAGCCTTACGCGAATTATACCCAATTCGAACTGAACGGAACCAAACCAAACAGAACGGAACTAAAATGAACGGCCACAATGCACCACCATCGTGCTAAGGGTTGCCACAGGCAGATACTACACCATAAACCCCACCCCTAAGGCCAGATCATGCGCAGTGCGAGAAGGTGAACTGGAATACAAGTAACCGATGCTCTATGCTTTGCTTACTACTTTTCAAACGTTGTATTTTTTGATAAGCAATTTATATCTATATTTTGAACAATAGTATCGTTTATATTTTGCAGTCATAGTTTTCCACCAAGAGTGTGTTTATAAAACTAAATCAGCAAAGTGATCAAAAGTGGGCCACCCCAGTTCCCAAGGTCCGATTTCGGCGAACATTTTGGCTTTTCCAGTTTAAAACAAGGAATAACGCAATAGTCGAGTACCTCGACTATCAGATACCTGTTACTTAGCCAAAGGGACGAAAGGGAGATGCGTGGCTTGTGGGCGTAAGAATAGGCGTGGCATACTCGCGTGACAAACTTACGTTTTGGGTGTTTTGAATTGATAACATATAGCTGTCATAGGAACTATCAAAATATTTAAATACAAATCTTCCAAATATACGTTTTCTGAAAAATGAGTATGATTTTAAGTGCATGATATTAAGAAAGCTGCAAGGGTAAACCAACTTCGGCTTGGCAAAGCTAGCATCCGTTCTTGTTTTTATACCCTTGCAGAGGGTATTACGATTTCAGCCACAAGTTTGCAACGCAGTTAAAGAGACGTTTCCGACCCCATAAAGTATATATATTCTTGATCTGCATCACTAGACGAGTCGATCTAGCCATGTCCGTCTGTCCGTCCGTTTCTACGCAAACTAGAAACTTTCCCAGAAGTCGTATTTCTTTTGCAGGTAGTATATAAGTCGAAACCAGCCGGATCGGACAACTATATCTTATAGCTCCCAAAGAATAATCGGAAAACTAAATTTTAAAAAATTATTTCTTTTGTTTTTTTTACATATAAATTCCTACGCTTGGAAATAACATTTTTAAATTAGTTCTGAATTTCGAAATTCATTTTATCAATATCGGACGACTATATCATAAAGCTGCCACAGGAACGATCGAAAAATTGGTGGGAAAATAATATGAAACAAATTATAGCTTCGTTGTTTTTTAACATATGACCTCCTACGCTTGGAAAAACCATTTTCAAACTAAGGAGAACGCTATAGTCGAGTACCTCGAATAACAGATACCTGTTACAGCTAAAGGGACCAAAGGGAAATGGAGGTATGCAAGCAGTAAAGCGAGATTGAATTGCGCCACCTACCCGCGATCTCAATATATGGTTATGTGGGCGGTAGACAGATTTAGGTGTTATGGGCGTTAGAGTGGTCGTGGCAAACTTTTTTTGGGGTCAATCGATAGGTATTGACGAGACTAATACATTTCAGTTAACATATTTTTCTAGGATGAAAATTGTGGGCGCGACAGGCTTAGGCGGTTTGTCGGCGTTAGAGTGGGCGTGGCAAATTTTTTTTGGATCAATCAATAGGTATTAACAAGACTAATACATTTCAGTTAAAATTTTTTATCTAGCATGAAAATTGTGGGCACCACAAATTGGGGGTTTGTGGGCGTTAAAGCGGGCGTGGCATCTTCGCGTAACAAATCTAAATCTAAAATCCCAATTCTCTATCTTCTATAGTTTCTTAGATATCCGCGTTCATATCTACGATTTTCTAATTTTGTTGGCGGTTTGTGGGCGTGGCACATTGCTGAAACAAACTTGCGCTGCGTAAGAAGGTCATGAATCTGCATGCCAAATATCAATAGCCTAGCTCTTATGGTTTCCGAGATCTCAGAGTTCAACCGGACGGACGGACAGACGTACAGATGGACATCGACTCGGCTAGTGATCCTGAGCAAGAATATATATACTTTATGGGCTCGGAAACGCTTCTGCCTGTTATATACTTTCCGACGAATCTAGTACACCATTTTACTCTACGAGTAACGGGTAAAATTAGTTCTGGATTTCGCATTTAGCGAGAAAAAAAGTTAAAATTAGTGTATCACAAAAATTAAACATTTCCAATAATAATTTAATGGGTTAAAAAAAAGTCTTGTATCACGCAACCGGGATTTTAATGACCTTCTAATGACCTTGATGCCAAAGTGTACATAGAGTAAGTTCAAATTATGAGTATATTATCTAGCCACGTCCGTCTGACCGTTTCTACGTGAAATAGTCTCTTAGTTTTAAAGCTATCATTATAAATCTTTCCCAAAAGTCTTCTTTCTATTGCAGGTGGTATGGAAGTCGACAAGATAGTAGAAAAAAATCAAGCTTCGCTGATTTTGATCATATTATTTTGGTACTATGGGAATACACTACTTTTTTACAATTTCATAATTTCAAATAAAATTGTTCTTTAATATATGAGCTAAGCATAAGCTTCCATCAATCGTAAAATGGTTCGTTGCTTTTGATCATACTCTATTCTACTCCGTGGTATGCCTTACTTTAGGTTTTAAAAATTTTTGATTTATTTTATGTACTGTAATATACGTGTGATTTTAATTGCATGAAATGGTTAAACTTCGTTTCTTTCTTTGCTCCATTTAAAATCTTAGCATCTGCCAAATGGATTCTTTAGTTTTTTAGATGCTACAAAAATGGTTTAATATCGTGCTAAGCACGTGTAATCGTTTTGAGACCTCGAAGAAGAACTCATATCTTTCAAAAAGAATCATCCAGATGGTTCAATCCATGTCAAACGTGTCACGAAAACAATAGTTAAATTTCAGGAAAATACGAAATATTTTCGATAGAGAAGCGAATTGTTGTAGCTTGTTTTCCTTTTTTTATTATGCTCCTTTTTTTAGCGGAGTTCTCAGTTTCAAGCACCTCTTAATAAAAATAAACATATAACTTATTTGTTAAAGATGGAAATGTATTTGAACTGCGATGGCGCCGTTAGTGCCAATTAAGGAAATTGTTGTTGATGGAGGCCAAGGACCCTTTTAAAAAAAGGAACAATTTCTATGCTCTTTTTTAAGGAAATGACCAACCTCCTTCTTGGAAACAAGACCTGGAACCAGCTGAACCAAAACTTTCATTATTTATCTAAAGAAAAAGCCATTTAAGGGCGCACCCATCTTCCAAAATTGATGCTTAAAATGGATATTGTCAAAGATCCGTATCCGAAGAATCAAACGCTTTAATCGTTTGCGCTACGGATACAGCAGCCTTGCCGCTGACAAGTTCTGAAAGTGAATATTTTGGTACAGCAGATCAAGCAAAAATAATCATTTATATTTTCTAGAAAATATTTATATTTTTTAGGGTAAGTATCAATTTAAGGGTGGAGTAATCATTTTTAGAAAAACTAATGCAAGGCAATTTTATTTTTTCGTTAGCCTTTTTATCTTTTAATAAATAATTTCTAGAATAAGGACATGTTTTTTAATAGGGCGATTCTAGTTTATGGTAAACATTTCCTTGATTTAGTAACGTTTTCCGAATTTAAGGAAAATTTCCCTGACTTTAGAAAAAACAAGGAAGAACGCTATAGTCGAGTACCTCGACTATCAGATACCCGTTACTCAGCTATATGGAGATATGCAAGCAGCAAAGCGAGATTAAAATGCGACACCTACCGGCGGTATACAGATTTAAGCGTTATAGGCGTTAGAGTGGGCGTGGCAAATTTTTTTTTGGATCAATCGATAGGTATCGACGAGACCAATACATTTTAGTTAAAATTTTTTATCTAGCATGAAAATTGTGGGCGTCACAGGTTTTCGCGGTTTGTGGGCGTTAAAGTGGGCGTGGCAAACTTTTTTTGGGTCAATCGATAGGTATTGATGAGAACAATACATTTCAGTTAAAATTTTTATTCTAGCATCAAAACTGTAGGAGCCACAGTTTTGGGCGGTTTGTGGGCGTTAGAGTGGGCGTGGCACTGTGCCGAAACAAACTTGCGCTGCGTAAGAAGCTCAGGAATCTGCACGCCAAATCTCAATAGCCTAGCTCCCATAGTTTCCGAGATCTCAGCGTTCATCCGGACGGACAGACAGACGGACAGACGGACAGACGGACAGACGGACATGGCTAGATCGACTCGGCTAGTGATCCTGATCAAGAATATATATACTTTGTGGGGTCGGAAACGCTTCCTTCTGCCTGTTACATACTTTCCGACGAATCTAGTATACCCTTTTACTCTACGAGTAACGGGTATAACAAGGAAGAACGCTATAGTCGAGTACCCCGACTATCAGATACCCGTTACTCAGCTAAAGAGACCAAAAGGAAATTGAGATATGCAAGCAGCAAAGCGAGATTGAAATGCGCCACCTACCGGCGGTAGACAGATTTAAGCGTTATGGCGTTAGAGTGGGCGTGGAAATTTATTTTTTGGATCAATCGATAGTTTGTGGGCGTTAGATTGGGCGTGGCACGATTTTCTCAACAGCCTAGCTCTTATAGTTTCCGAGATCTCAGCGTTCATCCGGACAGACGGACAGACGTACAGATGGAAATGGCTAAATCGACTGCTTATATTTTTTATGATTTTTTGAAAATGCTTAGAAACATGCATTTAAGCCATATTTTTCTCTTTTTCATAAAAATTTTTTCCGACATTGTCACCTTTAAAAAATCATAAAAAATATAAGCAAAATGATTTTTGAAAAATTCTTTTTGCAGTTACTATTAGTTTTGTTTAAAAAAATTTGTTTGTATCAAAAAATTTAAGTTTTCAAGTCGAGGAAAAAAGTTCACAAAGGACATTTTCACACAAATTCGTCCTTTTCAATAAATACTGAATGGGCTAAGAAATGTATTGTATCATTCAAACGGCATTTGAATTACCTTTCCATTGATGCCAAAGTTAGCAAGATGTAAGTTCAAATTATGAATATATTTAACTTTTTTTTTGTGAAAATACTTTTGACCACCCTTGTACTTTATGGGGTCGGAAACGCTTCCTTCTCCCTGTTCCATACACTCATATAAATTGTACTG